TGCTCTTGATGTATAAGCCCATCGTGGCTTGGTGACAACATATAATGGCGAGCAGAGGCTTTGCTATAACCCTGCCATTATGTGGGGTCTCGTTTTAAGAACTGTATTATAATAGGGTTGGGCTGCACATAGATCACATTGAATCAAGTTTCCTTACTCCACACGCCTCTATTTACCTAGCAGTAAGTAGGAACCCAGTTGTTAGTCAGTTGGTGGATTGCTTTTCTGGGGGTAATAATCCTGCAAGAAAATAATAATAAACACTAATAATAATTTGCTCCATGACTGTTTGTGGGACACTGCTGTGAGCAATTGACTGCCGCGTTTCACCCACAAAATATACAGTCAATTCACTTCACAGTATATTCCGTGAAGTGCTTTGAACGACACGATAAGACGCAATATCAAATGCGAGGATTATTATTATAAATTAAATTGAAGGAAAACCTAATGGTTACATGGATTTACATAGAATTTACAGGCCATTCGGTGCAACTAGTTCTTGTTGGTGTTTGTACTTTCCACTCTCACCTTAAGTCCCTCTCAAACCCTTCAATTGCCTTCCCTTTCATGCATGTATCTACAAGGGTTTACTGTGTGTTTGTTGAAAGCAGTAGACAGATTTATGTTAGCAAACAAAACTGAATTTAGGTCACCATAGAAAAACTCATTAATATTTCAGAAGATTCAAAGATTCATTGAAGGTAAAGCTTAGATCCTGGCCATTCAGCCCATCCAAACCAGCTAGTGTTTGTACTCTACACGGGTTCTCATTCTAGATCCAATACTTAGTAACATTGGCCTTTTGTGCATTTGCACATGTTTGCCGACCCAACAACTGACTGTAGCAGAGAATTATTGCACAGAATTGTAGAGTCATAGAATGTTACAGCAAAGGAAAAGACCACATGCCCCATCAAGTCTGCACTGGTGTTTTCTTCACACAAACTACCTAGTCTGATGCCGTGCTCTCCACTCACTTCCCATACAACTTTAGTATTCTTTTTCGAGTCCTAAAATCCCTAAAATATGATAAAATGAAATATTAACTTGCAAATGAAAGGCTGTCTCTTCTTGACTGGAGTAAACTGCTCCATCGCTCTTAATGTAGTATTTTATTTTACTATAAGAAAATGTAATGATCACAGGGTAGACTATTTCAAAGCATTCTCTCACTTTGCAGTAGAATCAAAACACTTGGTTATATTCCATTGTTTTGTAGAACAAGTTACACTCTAGACATAGTGCCAATTAAAACAAAATAATTACAAGCATTATTAAAAATAATTGTCTCTGGCTCTGTCTCCTTTCAACAAAATATTCTCCAATTTTAGGAGCAATGTGAGTCACTGCTGAGCCAACCCACTAGCTTGTCTGGAAATGATGTGTGAATGTGTGCAGAAAGATATGGCATTGATATAACTGATAATAAGTGAAATGAGCACAACAGACAATGAAACAAAAATGATGCTGTGAAAAATGAGCCTTCTTTAAACTGAATTCTATTAATTTCAGAGGTTTCAATTCATAATATGGTCCTCAGAGAGTGATCAAATATTAACTTGCAAACCAATGGTTGTCTCTTGATGAATGGAGCAAAGTGCCAACGTCAAAAGAAACAGTTTGTCTGCCTTGAAACACAAGATTTGTGCATGAGGAAAATTAACCTAATGTTTGAAATGAGCTATGGTTCTCGGTGCTTTGCTAAGATTTAGGATTATTTTTTCACATAAGATATAAATCCTTTCAGTGTCATGTGTAGCCTGCATTTTTATATTTTTGTGTTTAATTTGCCCAACTAAAAGATGGCAAAGTCCTTTCCGTGAACCGCAGAAAAACTGTAACCTGGCGATTCAGTCACCGTGGATCTCGTTCGGGCTACGTCATCATCTGTCTCACTTCAAAGCTTTTGACAAGCCACTGTCGAGTCGGCTACCAGATGACTCATTTGCTCTTTGAGTGTCCAATTGTAAGATGAATCATGTATTCGCATTTTATATTATTCCCATTCCCCTCCCCCTGTTTATATTGTCACTGTTTGGGTTGGGGGGGCCGTGGTGGTGGCTGGAGGGAAGAGACTCACAATTTAATAATCTTGCGTAGTTACGGCTGGCCTAATTAACACCTATGATGCAGCTTTAAAATCACCTGAACCACCCACTCCCAAATTTCAGACGTCAGTCTTACGCAAAAAAGCATATGCTTATGATTGCTGCTTCTTACTCAGCTGCCTCTACGAGCAGGGATTTTGCCTGAGTCTGTATTTGTACTGTTGATTGCTTCATTCCATCATCTTCCTACTAGAAGCTTTTTGCAGCTAACGCTGAGGTCTGGAGATTTATTTACGAGGAAGTTCTGTGTGTTGAAATCCTTTTCTCATAATGAAATACATTGAAGGTAAGGCCAACTTGTAGTATTATTTAACACACTAATAAGTTACTCTAATTCTTAACATGTGTTTTAAACTGCAGTAGCAGAACATTGGTTTACTTGATTCTGTGTGAACTAACTGAAGTAAATCAAGCAAACTTTGCCTACGTAACAACATTCACTTAATTTCTAATCAATTATATTTTGTAATGTGCTTTGGCTGTTAAAAGTATTGATATAAATGTAAGTTCTTACAGTATTGTAAAGTTAAATCTGAAAATTATTGTTTTACTGTCTTTTTTTACTCTTCATGCTATTATCTATATCTGTAAGGTTCAACCCCAGTTCTTTTCAAATTTCGGATTGATTTACTAATGCACAAATCTTGAATTTCAATGCAGCAAAAAAATTCCTTTTGAAATTTACATATTTATTCATCAAGAGACAGCTTTGGTTTTCAGCCTCATACTGAAAAATGCTTAACTTACTTAAAAATATCCTCAAGTGTGACTGCAATGGAGGTGCTTGTATGTGCTCCGAAACGTTGCCCTGCATGAAGGGTTCTATATAAATGCAAATTGTTGTTGTTGTATTCTTTTCTGGGAGTTAGCTAATAATAACACTGTGAGTGTCTGGATTAACTATTTTGCCTGAAAGAGTATGATGGAATGTTTAAAAATACTTGGTTTCATTCACTTTATCAAGTTCTTACAATTTTGTAATTTTATTCAAAGAGTTTTAGGTGACCATTATTTAAATGCTGTTCAGTGCTGCACTTCCAATGTATTACTGATAGCTGCATGCTGTCTTTATCCTGCACCTTCCAATGCATTACAACTAACAAACAATAACAACACAAATTAGATTGCTATAGCACCTTTCACGTCGGGAGGATGTCCCAAGGCGCTGGGACCTTGGGACTCAAGGCTGATACAAAAACGATCTGTGATAACACTGCCCATCAATTTGTTGTGGAATAGTGTAGTGTTTCATGTGGACGCACTCAAAAATATGCACAAAGCTCTCTTAATTCATCTCTGACTACATTTACTTACTGCCAAGCAAAATCTTGTCTTCAGCTGTTTTTAATTGGTAGACATTGAAAGCTGGATTTAAAATAGTTCAATGTTCTCTTGTTTGTGTTGGAAGGTTGTGGATTTGAGCTCCTCAAAGTTCAGCTCATAGTTTAAATCAATGTAATCATTTTGATTTGAGATGATGCATTGCTATAATGCCAAACGTTGTTGTTTGAGCTCTGTTGTACAATGAGTCAGTAATGCAGCTCAGGTAATTCAATTGGTGATTACACTGTGTTCTGTGCTACTGAGTCAGACATACTGGGAGGATAAGTCATTTGTAAGGGTGTCTCACTGCTCTAAAGGCTAGGAGGTGAATAAATTGATCAGGACTCTTGTAACAAGTATCCTCTGCTGCCAGATATGGGCAAGTCCCCAAAACTGCACTGGAAGAGTAGAACATTTGTTGAAATGCTTGAAGGGATGTACCCAGAATGTGATGCCACTTTCAGCAAAGTAGGAAGATCAGAGGAAAAAAATAGGGGGAATTCCTGACCTGAGCTCAGATTATATACACTGAACATAAGAACATAAGAATTGCTCCACGAAAGAAGACCAAGGTTCATCCAGTTTGCCTTCCACCATCCATGGCAGTTGCATACACATGTCATGTCCCAAACTATATCCTGAGATATTATTTCCTAACAGAAAACTAATTTGCTTTTGAAAGAATCAACACTTCCTGCTTCCACCCACCTACATTTACTGTGTCAGAATCAGTGATATTGGATCATTCTCTAGGGGGTTTCAATTGCAGTTGTTCTTTACTGGATTCCTTCATGAAAACTCAAAGACCCAAATGGGGACTCCTTTTGGTATCTAGAAGTATGTCATGCTAACCTTGGAATGTCCTGAAAATATATCATGCACATGGAGTGTATATCCAATTGGAAGGAGTTAAGAAATGTCACATATTAGATTCCAATTAATATATGCATTGCATCAAAAATAAATGTGCTTTCCTAATAAATGAATGCTGGGTACCTTGAGGTGCAAAATGGCTGTTATGTTTTTATGCAAAAATGGTCAGTATATTATAATGCTAATTATTGTAAAAATGTTTTAACCACGATGAAACATTATAAAAATGCACATTAATGAACCAACCTTAGGGCGTATTGATCTCAAACAAATCCCACAGAAAAAAAAACTTATTTACCAGAGAGTGATGAGGATGTGGAACTCATTGCCAGAAGCCATGGTTAACATAGAAATCATCAATGCATTCAAGATGAATACATAAGGGTGAAGGGAACAGGAATAAGATTGGGGTGGCTAGCGAGGGGCGGTTAGACTGAGTAGAGGATTATGTGGAATATAAACATCATCACAGATTAAACGGTCCGAATAGCCTGATTTGGTGCAGTACATTCTGTGTAATTCTACAGAAAAAGTGTGTGGAATTCTGTGGAATCTGAGGACCATCTATATCTCAAATGCATTATTCTTATTTCTGTTGTCCCATGCAATGACATGTGTATTCCACAACATGCTAGCCTTGTATGGTGCACAATTGTTCAATGGCAACAACCTTACAGCTGTTTCCTTTTTCAGTGAACGGGACCCCAGGTAGCCAGCTTTCCACTCCACGTTCAACCAAGACCCCAAGCCCATCGCCGACCAGCCCAGGCAGCCTTCGCAAACAGAAGGTGAGATAATGTATTCTAATTACATTTAGAGAGGCCTGACTGGTTCAAAGCAATTAATCATCCCCAAAAAAGCAACAGTGCTGTAGGAACCTGACATTTATTTCAGAGGGATTCATTAACTCGGGTGAACTGCTCGGGGGCGCAGGGGGAGGAAACACAGCTTGTTATATGCATTCAAGACCTGCAATTGTCAAAAGAATATATTTATTTTTGAGAAAAAAAAGCATTGGCCAGTCAATAAGTGGCAACTCAGCTTTGTAGTCTTATATCGTACAACCCTGAGTCCCCAGTGCCATGAACCAAGATGCAATTTGTTTATGGTAAAGGAAAGGCTCATCGATCATCAGAGACAAGTGATAATGTCAGTTGGATGGCGTAATGGATTTAGTTAATATTCTTATTGATTACTGAATCACCTTAGAGAATCCAATGGCCCCAGGCACTGTAGCCAGGACATTGAAATAGATGCAGATATGTAGCTTTGAGCAAATGCATAAGCTTGAATTGATGAGTTTGGTGTGGTTGGAAGAAATAAAGCAAAATCCATTATGTATTCTCCTAGTATCTCTGTCTCTCTTCTCGGTGCTACTATGTTGCCTAGCAACAAGCTAAGCTGTACCATGATCAGTCATTTTCCTTCAGTTCTGAAAATCTGAATGAATCTCAGAAACACAGCTAGAATTTCATCTGATTCATACTGATGCTGTTTAAAATCAAGTGTCGGCTATTGTCGCAGGGCGCCATTAATGTTAGGGATACAACTGAGCATTGCTTTGCAGCAAGAAATACATTTGCTACATTTGTGCTAATTTTGTCCTATAATTTGAAATGTTAAGAAGGGATTAGACACGGCAGAGACTTGGTCTGCCACCTTCCAGATCTTATGTCAAAACAAAAATCGGGCACAGCTGCTGTTACACAGGTTTCACTGAAGGCTGCTTGAGGTTGTGAGCAGAGACTTGGGCAGAGAGTCACTGAAAGTGACCTGAGATCACTTGCAGTGAACAGTGTTTATTTTTGGTGTGGAGAAAGAGCAGCAGACGTTCCATTGAGATTAAGGCTGATTCTGAAGAGCGAAACTGTGTAATGATACGGTTTGCTCCTGCACTAGAGCTTCCCATAGATTTTCTGACTGTCACCAATAACTTCATTCTCCACTGGAATACACATCTTTTTCTATTAACTCTTCTGTTTTCCCCCACTTACACTCAACACAATTTAAAGTGAGCACCGTATTTCCATTTAAAAGAAAGAAAGGTTTGCATATACACATGGAATCTAAAGTAAGGAGTTATTCTGCATTTTTGTGCCTGCGAAGAAAAGAACGACTTAGAAGATGTCTTTTTAGTGTGCAATACCATATTACACTTCATCTTTCAGGAACTGTACCTACCCCTCTCAGTGGATGATTCAGATTCTGTGGGAGACTCAATGTAGAAACACAATGGAGAAAAATGTCAAGGGTTTGATATCTAACAATGGAAAATTCAATTCACTTTTACTCAACTTCTGCATTTTCATTTTTTTTTAGTTATTATTTCAAATAAAAAAAACTTCAAAAAAGATCCGATTTTCACTTTATTAGAGTGTGGAATTGCTTATCAAAGATAATTTTTTTTTGATTAATGTACCTTGTCTTTTTTAATGAAATCTCTTATTCTTCAGATTGTTACACTGTGGGCTTTACAAGCTTGGACAAATTAACACAAAACAGCCAGGCTAAATAGTGTTGTGTCCACATTCCGAGATGGTGGAAATATTTTAGCTCCAATCAATCAAATTTTAAGACTCTATTTTCTCCAATACTATCCTTGAAAACAATGTGAAAATGCAGATGGCTTGCTGTAGTTCTGAATCGAAATTGCCACTATACTAAACGTTTATGTAGTGAGAAATTCACATCAAATCTAGCTAGCAGCTATTACTTGTGCTATAGTGATAATATGATCAAGCATGATAACTACTGGAGAATACGATTCCAAAGCAACACAAACATTGTGGAGTATTAATGGTCAGCCAGCTGTGCTTTGGATGTTCAGGAATAACTGTGACGGTTCCCAAATTTGTGATGTGCTCAAAGCTGATCTTTTGTCCACCTGTCAGGAAAAATAATGCGTTGGTTAAGAAGCATGAAATATTTTATATCAGTCAGTGTTGAGACGTTCGTTTCTATCTGGCCTTTGTGTCATCTGCATCACTCCTACCATAATATGGTACAAAGCAATTTAATTGATGACTGCTGCCCCATGTGAATGTTAAACTGGTTCTTTTTTTAAAAAACACATAGCAACTCACCTCTCAAGTTCTTGTTTTTAAAGCAAGTGGGTAGGCAGTGGATCAGGTCTAGAACACTGTGAAAAAGATTTTCAACATGTCAAAAATCACAGTATTTGTACTGCCATATTCTGCAAGTAAAATATTTGTTGCTGTAGAACATCTGTTTATCATAATGCAGCTGCTCTGAATTACATTCAGAAGCACTGCAGCAGAAAAAAAATGAAAGAATTCCATAGATCACATAACAGGAATCATATCAAGTTCCTTTATGATGTATACTGATTAAGCCATGTCGGCTAAATCACAATAACATGTTGAACGATACCTAATAGCCGAAGAAGCTTTCAAGGCTTTGAACTACATAGTTTCTTTTAAGGTACATGTGATTTTCATTTCATTTGAATTGTCAGCGTAGTCTTAGCTAAGTGCATTGGGCTTTCAAAGTTTAAAATATTTCTGTTGCAATCTTACATCTATAATGCGGTTTAAAAATGCAGATTTATGTACTGCTTTAGTTAACATATGATTAGAATTGGTCTCTGTAGTTCTATTTGAATTATTAAATTTGCTTTTAGTTACTTGAAATGGGGACAGATAGAGAAATTGTTCTTGCCATTAGTCTTGCAACTTTAATCACATTCACTAAGAATAGGTTGAATGCATTTAGCAGTAAGAGGAATATTATCCACCGTAGAGATTAGTTAATGAGCCTATGTATCCGGTTTATCACCGGATAGAAAGTCTGCTTAAGAAACATTGCCTTGTCTTTGATGGTCTTAATAGCAAATGCACATTTGAAAAGATAATGTTAATTTTATTCTTTTATTGTGCATCATTGTCATTTAATGTCATGTATCATTACTTCTCTGGCAGTTTTTGGTGTTGTATTTGCAGCTGTAAGACTACAGCAACCTGTATCTCTGCATGACTCTTCATCCCTTGTTTGTGTGTTTCATTTTTATTGCTGTGATTGTGAAAAGCAGCACATTGAAATTATTCATCCTGCTACAAATGGGTAATATAAAATCATCAAAATTAGATTTACATAAGACATGATATTTTGCGTGCATGGGTTCTAAGAAATTCGATTTTCTTTAAGAACATGCCTATGTTTTAGCATTGTCCGAAGACCGAGTGTAACTGTTCCATCAATTTACTTAACCATTATTATAATCTCTAGGAGTGTAAAGAGTGTCACATGACAACTCATTCACCAATTCTCATCCATATCTTTAGGGAAATGTATACATGTAAAACTGTCTTTCTGTAGATAACAGCCTTCCACAGAAACCTCAACAGGTTCCAAGTGTAGGCTTAGTTCCATTTTTAACATTCATATCTTTTTGCAATTATTAGATTAATATTTTTGATAAGATTAAAGACTGATTGTCTCACTAAAAAGGCAGAAACGATTAAATGTAAACTTGCGGGTTAAAAACTCATTACTAGTGAATCATGCTAAAATTTGATTTCTATTACATTGAATTGACCCCTTCGACCTGGAAGTATACTGCATTTTAGATTTGATTAATGTGAATCAACATCAAATTGATTCTAATAAAACCTTATAAAAGGGCAAATATCCTTCCATTGATAAGGCAACCCTTTTCACTGGTTAAAACTAAGTAACATAGTGAATTTACACATGGAGTTTTCAGTTTCAAATCCCTGATGTTCAAGCTCTCAAGCCTTTTAATGATAAGAATAATCCTTGCATTTGATATGACGCCTTATCACATCTCAAAGTGCTCCACAGAATATACTGTAAAGTGAATTGGTTTTAAAGTGCGGGCGAAACGCGGCAGCGAATTGTGGACAGCAGTGTCCCACAAACAGTCGGGGATTGAGTGACCAAATTATTTTTATTTATGTGTCACTTTTGTGTAAACAACAACAACAACAACTTGCATTTATATAGAGCCCTCCACGCCCGCTAGCATCCATGTTATACCAGCATTCATGCTGGGCTTCTAAACTGAGCTCTTCCTGCTAGCAAAGTATTTACCCGACAACAGAGTGTACTGAGTGTCCTACCCCAGAGAAGCGTCTCTCCTGTCCGTACATTGCAGAGCGGTATTGATGGCAGCTGAAGGAATATTGTGCCCCAAATAATTACACCTGCCTGACAAGACACTGACAAAATAAGGATATGTTGCAGTTGGGAGCCAATGCTCAGTTCCTGACAATGTTCAACCGACAAGTGATTTTAAAGAGGTTGAATTGAGCGATGGACCAAGCATTTCATTTTCATAACTCTTGCACTTTCCTTCCCACTAAGATTACACCTGCTAGCACTATATTTGCCTTAGCATGTGCTGCCTTTTTTCCCAGTGTGTGCTGCCTTTACCCCAATGTGTGCTACAGTTACTCCAGCATGCAATGTGTGTGCTTTATTATAGTATTCAAGCTTTTGCCTTCTCCCTTAGAAGCATTTTCAATTTGCTGCTTTATAGTGTGCACGCTTTGTTTTGAATAGGCTCCATGTAAAATGCGTACCTCTGTGTGTGAGGAATAGATTTGTAGTTGAAGTGATGTGTACAAGGCTGTTTTCACCCAGTCTCCAACCTTATGCAATGTAAAACAGTTAAATCTGCATGCAATTTCCTTTTATTATGCCTGTATTTCAACAATTGAGTCCCACTGCTCGAATATTCAGATTGAAGACATCACCTTATTAATAAATCTTGAAAATGTCAGTGTCGAAAGGATTCAAGCTACTCATCACCCGAAGATGGTTTAATGTTTCAGTCAGAAGTGGTAATCATTTCATGTGTTGACTGATCACGGCAAATATTTTAGATGGGATATTCTGCATTTCCCAGGATTGCTTTTAATTTTATAATGCATGCAGTCAGTTGATTTGAAACAAACACTTTTGCCTAGATGTGTTACCTTATGTATTTACTGAAGATGTGGACTAAACCTGATTCTAAATAAAATCGCACAACCAGAGATGTGGAAATATTTTTCTTTGTAGGTAGCTGACGTGACTCTATCTATACGTTTACAATTTAGATTAGGAATCTTGGGTCTAGCCTTCATTTTTTTGATATTTCTTCTGATATTGCAATAAAACTGCATTTATATAGATAATAATAATAATCCATTCATAATAATAATAGATTCATTTTTAAAGCTTTTTGCACCTGGTATCAGCACCACACACAAAGTCAGACAGAGCATCATTTAAATCATTTCCCGTTATCAATGTAGTGCATCGCACAGTTGCGAACAGGGTAAAAATGCATCTACATGTTTGACATCATTGGCCACTCTCACAAAACTCTGTGCAAATAACCATTTCTTCAATTAGGACTTATTCCTCAGATCTGACAATAGTTAGCTTTTTGATGTGGCACATTTCATTGCACATTGCCACTTCTTTCCTGGTCATTTTAATAATAATAATCTTTACATTTAAAACAGTGCCTTATCACGTCTTCGAGACATCTCAAAGCACTTCACAGAATATACTGTAAAGTGAATTGACTGTATATTTTGTGGGCGAAACGTGGCAGCTAGTTGCGCACAGTAGTGGCCCAAAAACAGTAATGGATGGAGTGACCAAATTATTATTTATAAGATATTTTAATTCATTTTTGAAGGGATTATTACCCCAGGAAAGGTGATCCGAGGCATGTGGAGTAAGGAAACTTGCTCAAAGTTTCGCCCTGCCTGGGAATTGAACCCAGGTTCTTTCATTTGCGAGGCAAGTGCTCTAACCACTAAGTTACAGGACTATGGAAAATACACAGCGTGAATTGTGCTGAGAGCTGGTACAAGTCCTTTTGCTGATCAGAAAAGTCATGAATCGAGCATAGCTTTCCTACCACTTCATCGGGTAGAAATTAATGTCAACTAAAAANTAATATTTTTTTAAAAAAGCAAATAATTGAAGTTAAAAAAAATCATCTAAAAATACACTTTACTAGCAGCTGGGAATAAAAACAAAACCAAACCAATGATATAGTTAAAAGGAAACATAGGGCAGAAGGCTGAGCGAGAAACCATTCTCCAGATGTATGGGGACGCAGAAGGAAGGTGTTTAGCCTGAAACCTGTCATTATGGATATGGCACAATAAAACTACAGCTTCTGTTCTGTCACTAATTCTCAGATCACATACCAGATCTTCCATTCCCCTCCCCTCCCCACCCATAGGCCTCAAGAGTTTCCTACAGTGAAATCTCGGGTAAGTAAACTATCTCTAATCTAGGCTAGATACAGCTGGAGTCAAGTCAGAATAAATTCTGGGCTTTCCATGGGCTTTAATTTTTGGCATAATTTACAAAAGAAGACCCAATTTGCTCAATAAACTTTCAACATTATAAACAGTTTTTGAAAGCTTGGTAGGTTTTACTAATATAGATTTGGAAATAGCAGTGCATTTGTTCACTTTTTAGAATAGTTAAGCAACAATTGATGGAAAGTGATTTATCAACCTACGTGATTAAAGGAGGAGACTATCAGGCCCATTCAGTTGAAGAGCTAATCTTGAATTAAGTGATACAGTATGGCAGGGAAATGCAGCCTTATTACTTAATATTATTTCTTGTTTTAAGTATACAAAGATGGAAATCCTTATAGGGAGCCATTTCAGTGAGATATATTAATGCTTTCTTTTAGTTTCAGGTTGGAGCTGGTTGAAGTGTTATTGGAGATGATCGATCATGAGATTGTTTTAGTGGTTGCAAGAGGGAATCACCTCAGTTCATCCCAACTGCCCTTTAGATGCAAATGAAGCATTTGTTAGTCATCCGCACTTTGCATTTTAATTGATGTGATCAAAATACGGATCATTATGAGGGAAATACTTATTTTATTATAACCTGGGCTTCCAAAATGCAAATATTCACACCTCCATCGGCAACAATTAGTAACAGAGGAAAGCATCGTTATGCTCCTGAGTAACAATTGAATGGCTGGCTGGTTTCTGCTGGAAAATGGTTTGTATATGGTGTCTCCAACATAAATTAACCAGACTGAAAATAGAGATTTCTAGTTTGTTAGCTGTTATTCTTTTGTGCATTCTGCATTCTGCAGTCAGTAAATGATATATTGAAAGCTTCTTATTTCAGGAGTACCACTTTAAAAATCATTCATTGTGACAGAATGTTTTTTCCCACTTAACCACAAACACATCCAATATTTACACCCACTTGGATATAGCTGAGTTAATGTCTGTTTTGTTTAAGAACTAGTTGTTTAACAATAAACTATAAAGCTATTCAACCACATCTACTTGTGAATACAATGACCACATAATAATTCTTGGCTGATTTTTAAGAGTAATTTTGTATTCAAGAGCTACATTAGATAATAATGCATTCATTTTCCTTTGTTATAATTCTTAATTCAGGGTTGGATAAAGCACAGTATTTTTCATGAATGCTTTCTGCTACATGATGAGAAGGTTTGTGTTATTTAAGTCAAAGCTTCAGAGAGAATATACAGTAAACCTCACATAAGTGGTATCAGTTGGGACCATACATTAAATACGATTTATACAATGTATGAGTTTTGTCAAACTTGTATAGAATATAAATGGGACTTGGGCAGGTGAACGACTTAAGCAATTATACGATTTATACAGATCAGACTTACACGAGTTTTACTGTACATGAAACATGATCTATCTGTTGTTAGGTGGGTTCTTTGTCCAAGAGGCAAGTCCAGTTCCCATGGACTTGATTTCACTTAAATCAATGACAAAGGATTTAACCTTCCTATTGGGAATTATCAAGAATTGCCACTATTTTCAGCGTGATTTGACGGTCTTCTTTTTACCAGTCCACAAGGATACAAGTTTAAAGGTCTCCTATACTGTGCCTACAGGAATGCACTGAAACTCCAGTCTTTCAGCTATTTGTTCAGGACACAGAAGAGATCTTATGCACAAACTATGAGAATGTATGCAGACCACCAGCCTTTCCAAATGGCCAGCACAATGAAGAGGATTTATCAAAGTGGGGATTGATAATTTTAGTACTGCCAGAGAGCAGCACATTGGAATAGATTACGCTTGCTCTATTTGATATTGTTGCAGTTGTTTTTTTTTAAGGAGAGAATAAAAGATTCATGGAGAAGCTGAATGTATGTTCTAACATTTATGCAGTTCACAATAAAATAATGCCGCCAAGCCCGAGGGTGAACTGCGTTCACTGATTACAATCGCATTTCTCTTTGCTGCCAGAGCTCTCAGCACAGTGGATCCTCAACATCTCTGGCATCAACTAAAGTCTGCAGCTCAATGGATGACAATGATGGACCTGCGTGTGAAGGTAACAACAGAACCTGTTGATCATTGCCATTCCTCTCCTTAACATGTGTTTTTATTGCACCTTCATCCCAATCCACTAAAATGGGCACTCTTTTCTAATTTATGATAAGTATCCAGGAAAGCTTCCATCATGGTTTAAGGGAGCATTAAGCTCAAGCTAATTAAAGTATATCTTGATAGCACCTTTTACAAAAATGGCACACTCACCGAAATGTACAAGTCACATCCATTCACTAACCCTCGTCTGAATTTGATGTTTCATTAATAATAAAAACAATTTTATATATAAGGAGGCTTGCACAGCTGTTTTCCTGAGTGTCTGAGTTGGGGATTAATAGATCTGTCTCTCACATCTATAATTAAGATGGTTCACAGGTCAGATATACTGTAATTCATACATTTCGCTTTGCAATGATTCATGTATTTGTTTTACAAGCCTGATACCATTTATATATCTGCATTTAAGCTTGAGACGCGGGTTGTTATCCTTAACTTATAAAGTGCATTCATTTTGTATTTGTCGAACAAAGAGTTTAGATTTCATGGTGCTCCAATGTAGCTCCAGTTTAAAACAATGGATTGTGGATTAGTTAAGGGATGTTTTCATCTCAATTCTACAACAAGGCTATATTTTCTTCATCAGTGTCTGAAAAATCTCTTTGTATTTCTTTGTTAGTAATATTATTGTGATGTTTTTGGTAACCCAGATAATTTTGAAAGAACAAAATGATCCCAGGATGGTTTCAGACAGTGGGGTAGAATAGCTGAAATGGATGGTCAGACCAGTGTTTGCTGAGCGGAAGGAGTGGTCAGGGTGTAGGAGGTTGCACTGGCAGAGTGACACGGAACCGTAGAGTGATTTAAAACACTATTTGAACTGTTGAGGAATGGGAAGCTAGTGGAACTGAGCGAGAAAGGGGCTGATAAGATGACTAAGCCTGATGCAGGAAAAGACACAAACTACAGAATTTTCAGTGGTCTGCAGCTTATGTAGGAGGAAGTTGGGGAATCCGACGAGTTTGAATACTCGTGCCTGGACAGCTGAGGGAGAAGACATTGTGGCAGAGGTGGATGATGTGTTAATAAGGGAAATCTGAGCAAGTTAGAGCATAAAAGATACTTTGAATCAAACAGTCGACTGTGGTTCTGCACTGGCTCGATGAGTTGGAGTGTACATCCATGCAAGTGGATGTGGTTAGCACCTGAGATGAGAAAGCGCTGATGGGAGCCAAGTGAAAGAGTCTTGGAAATGATCATTCCTCACATCAAGCTGAAGAAGGTTAAAGCTCGCCCAATACTTGATGTCTGACATATGGTTAGTCAGAACAGCACTGGTCCTGAAATCAAGGCAGAGAGATGGTAGAGTTGGGTATCATAATATTTTGGGATCTTCCATTGATAAGTGCATGCCATCAAAGACGAGCAAGTGTTCCAAAGGGGGAAATTATCTCCAGGTAAAGTCTATGTTTTTGCTACATGATCATGAACTGAAGTATCACTGATTCTTGCAGAAGTCGTGGATGAAATATCTCAAGTGCCAGCATCTATCGCTGAGCGTTATAAAGTTGGAAGGACTATCGGAGATGGAAATTTTGCCATCGTGAAAGAGTGTATAGAAAGGTTTGTACCTGGAAGCAAACTCCCACCGTTTGAGGTGAAATTCTAAAGTCTGTCTTTGTTGAACGGAGGGTTGAAATGTTTATTGGAAGTTCAAGTAATGATCATCTTTATGACACTGGAGACTAACAATTTATTCTCATTAAATAATTCGAAATGGTTTATGAGGCATGCACAGTAAAGGTGAAATTATTTTATTTTTTAAAAAAATGTTTACACACCATGTTTATATGAGCTGTTTTCTTTTTTATTAGGTCAACTAACAGAGAGTATGCTTTGAAAATCATTAATAAAAGCAAGTGCAGAGGAAAAGTGAGTACGGAAAACAATATTTTATTTAAGAGTGAAAATGGGGAGAACTTCCTCATGGGTCTAGAGTTTACTCTTATGTAGCATTTTAAAGAGTCCAGAATTTGGCCAATTCTTAAAAAACGGTTTTCAGTAAATTGTTTTAAGAATGACAGAAAATTGCTTTTGAAGTTAAGACCGAATTTAACAATTTGCCAACTTCTGGATGTTCTGAAACGCTAAATGAATATAATAAGTCTAGACCTATGTGGAATTTTTTCACCAACAATGGTTAGACAGATTAAGGGAGTGATTTCTTTGGTTGGTAAATTTATTCTTAAATCGAAAATCAGACATGTTCACCTGCTGAAGTCCATAAAATATTTAAACAGTATTTTGTGGGGAAAGTGAAAGCATAGAAGTGCAATAATTCTAGAGGTTCGATTTAAATTTAAAGACTTGAAACCTAACATTTATTTCAGATTGTCTTCACTGGGCAAGTCATACACCCTCTAAGCCGGGGGGTAGATTGGTGCATGGCAATAAAATTCTCCATCGAGATCTAGACTGGTCTGGAATTCTTTTGGTGTCAGCTGGGTGTCTGACACAGGCGGAAACCCATCACCATGCTTAAGCGTATCCAAACCAAACTAAGAATTACATGCATCCCACCTATACATGGAAATTCTATTGTTGGAATGGAGTGCGCACTCTCTCCCCGGAGGGACGCATCCTGGTTACCTAATTCTGGAACGTATTAGGCACAGATTAGCAGGACCTAATGCTTGGGAACCCCAGAGGTACTGCTGGAGTCCAACCAGCTAAAACTGCATAGCTTGCCTGGAACTATTACTAAATTAAATCTGAATGACATGCAAATCCACTGAAAATCAGAAAAATATTTTAATCTTACCTATCAGTTAAAAAAACATTTAATTTGATTTTGACAGGAACATATGATTCAAAATGAAGTGTCCATCTTACGAAGGGTCAAACACCCCAACATTGTTCTTTTAATTGAAGAGATGGATACACCAAGTGAACTCTATCTTGTCATGGAGCTTGTCAAGGTAAGAACATTTATTGAGAAATTCAAGTCACAGAGTAAAGTAGGTCAACCAGTCTTTAAAAGAAAATGCCAACCTGATTTGTATTCTAATCGTATTTCACTGAGTCATATCCTCCGGCGAGTAAAGCATCCTAATATTTTATGAATAAAAGATTCTCTTTCAACTCTGTGCTGGAAAAAGAAAGCTTTGAGATTGATGAGCTCCTTAATTGACTTGGGGGAACGGTAAAAAATTCCGATAAGTTAAATTTAATCCGATGAATAAAATGTCATAAATTAATGAGGTATCTGAAATCTTTCACTGCATTGCAATGATTTGATGTTGGATGTACATGGTTTCTGTTGGAATTATGACAGCGTATTTGATGTGACATATCTCAATGTCCGCAACGATTGTTACTGATGGGATGTGCTCTGTTCTTTAGGGAGGAGACCTTTTTGATGCAATTACCTCCACCAACAAGTATACAGAGCGAGACGCTAGTGGGATGTTGTACAATCTGGCTAGTGCTATCAAATATCTGCATAGTCTTAACATTGTACATCGGGACATCAAACCAGAGAATCTATTGGTAAGTTAGAAGTAAAACGAAGAGTATATTCTTCAAACAGTTATGTTACTGGATCACAATAACATGCCAAATATAAGGATTAGGGAGGTAGTATGGAATGGTTGGGCCAAAAGGCCTGTTTCGGTATTCTATATTCTTTGTGATCTTTGTAACCAAGCTGATGTCAATCAATGTGTTGATTCAACATTTTTCCACTGCATTAAATAAAACATGCAGTTGAAGAAATGAAGCACATGATTTTTATTGCAAAAAAATCAGTAAAGTAATGCTATAGATTGTATGATTTAAGGTTCAAGGTTTGTGGATCCTTATGACCTTTTGGAACAGTAAATGCTGAACAAATACAATGTACTAAGGTTAAACAGCACAGCAATGAGATAACTTATGCAACCACCGTTAGACAATGAAAGTACAGAACTAGTGTCCTAAAAAGTGTGATAATAATGTTATTTTCACAGATTGGCGAACATTCAAATGTTATTCATACTGATGTTTTTACACGCAAACAAAACAAGTCTATAAATGACCAGATATTTTATCTCTAAAGGCTGTATTTGTTTCCAAACTACCTGAAAATTGGTTCAAATTAAATCAGTTCGCAAGTACCCCTCAGTCTGCTGGGCCAGGAATTTGCATCATTTTCCATTTGAGTCAAAATTCCAGATAACGACAGGAACTCAGGGAAAATTGCATATCAGGAAAGTTGCAAAAGCAACTTATTCCAAAATCAAAAAATATAGAAAACCGAGGAAACATATTAAATTCTTAATACTTAGGGAGCATATTTCAGGAGTGATGGATTTCAAGACCAGGAAATGACAGAAATCTTGTTTTATGCCCCTGAAGGACAACCTGTATAGTGATATTATGCTCTTTGACATTTCTGACACACATTGGAATTTGTACAGTTCTAATCAGGCACCTCCACAAACGCAATGGATTTTCATTTGTCAGCCTGGATGAGTTGCTGTCACGCTTATCTCTGGGTCAGAAGGTTGCGATCGAGCTTGCTTGTGGGTTCCTTCAAATTTATCTGCTGCAACAGTCATGTTGACTGCACAGTTCTTTCTCTTTCAAGTGATTACCATTCAGCTTGTTATTAGCTGCATGCATCCCATGACATACTTCAAAGGAATTTTCTTGATATTTTCTAGAATATCCCGAAGGCTCTGCAACATGATGATGTTATGCAACTTTCTAATTTACTGAGAAATGTTCACATTTAGAGGAAGGAATGAAATGCTCCAAGTACTAATGAGTTGGTTACTTCTAAGGTTTGGAATGTTGTAGTTGTGTGATATGTTAATGACATGAATGTATCAAGAAGTTAACAGGCAAATCAAGTAAAGTCCACTAGAGTGAAATGAAATAAAGTGTACCCAATTTGCTCAGTTGGTAGCATTTTATCCTCCAGGTCAAATGGCTCTAACCACATGGCTTCGTTTATAATCTAGGTGAAAGTCCAATGCACTATGGAGGGAGCACTCCATAGTGGAGACCCTGTCTTTCAGATGAGACATTAAACAGAGATCCTATTGTCAAGTTTGTTCTTCAAGTGAGCTTCAAAAATCCTATGATGTGATTCAAAAAGATCAGGGAGTTTCACCTGGTATCCTGGTCAACAATCCTCCAGATCTGGAAGGAACAGTCAAGGTCAATCAAAGAACCATAGAAATTTACGGAACAGAAGATGGCTGTTCGGCCCATTGTATATTTGCTGATAGAGGTCTTTAAATTATGAAGGGTTTTCATAGAGAAGTTTGGGAAAAAATATTTCTAGTTGGTCAGTGAGTCAGTGACTAGAGACCACCAATTTAAGATAATTATCAAAGGAGCAAAGAGGGAAATTAAGAGGATTTTTTTTACACAGAGTTGTTATGATAAGGAAATTTCAAGAGGAAACTAGATAGATATCTAAAACGTAATTTGACAAGATACAGGGAAAAAGTAGGTAAATGGGACTGAATGCATTGCTCCTTCAAAGAGCCATCACAGATAAAATGAGCCAAATGGCCTTCTTCTCTGCTATAACATTCATTAGTTCCATCCTCATGGCTGTTTGTGAAAATGGCTGCAGTGTTTGCCTACAAAATGCCATTATACTCAACTCTCATTGCCGTGAAATGTTTTGTGATATTTTAACATGAGAAGACATTATAAAATCAAGTTTTCAATTCATGCTGAATTAGTTTGACCTACCATTTTCACTTTGCAGCATGACTTTGTTTCTTAAATTACTCCAATGACTTGGCCTCAACCGTACTCCATTCCAACCGTTGATAAATTTCCGTGTAAATAATTACTTTCTGCTTTTTGGTTCTGGATTAAAATTGCTTTACACCAAATTGTAGCTGTGCCTTTTAGTCTGGCTGTCTTGGCACATCTGAAATGAAGTATTGTTCTGGGTTTATATTCTCTATTCTATTTAGTGTCATGTTTATCTCTGTATTTACCCTTTGAGATGTATTTTCAAAGCTGAAGAGTACATGATTATCCAGGCTTGTCCCTCTGACACCGGGATCAGATTAGCCTTGTTGCTGTCCTCTGCTCTGCCTCAGGGGGGCCAGCAGCCCTTTCTGTCACGGTGATAGAACTGTATGAGGTCTTCCAGCTGTGAGATGACCAGCCTAGGCACAAACTGTGCAGGAGCTCTGAAGTCTTTCGGATCCCGCTGCGTTCTGAAGGTCAAGACTGGTAACCCTGGTGTCTCCTGAGCTGCCAGGAAAGACAACTGTGTTCTTATTGAAACAATGACATGCTGCTTTAAATAACTTGCATGCATTCCCCGCACACCTTTGGGGTCAACAGCCTGGCTGACAGTCCAGCCGTTACGACTGAGATGGAAAGTCAAGGAGGCAAAATCCTCAAGGGTAACCAGCTGTACATAAAATATAGGTTTAATTTTAAACAATGTACAATATTTTTTGTAAGATTTGAAGGATAGTTTACATCCCCAAATTTGCACATTTTGACAATTTAGTTCAGAGGATTATAGACATTTTTACTGTGGATGTGTGTAGGAACCCAAAATCTGTGTGTCAGACTGGCTCAGTTGGCAGCGCTTTCGCCTCTGAGTAAGAAGGTTCTGAGTTTGAAGCCCCACCATTGGGAATTTCAACTCATAGTTTGAACGCACCGCAATGGCATTATACACAGACATATATTAAAATATAATAAAACTATGAATTTGAATTGACCCAGCAAACATAACCAGTTTCTTTAACTAATCATTAATCTGTGTAGAAGTAGGTTATTACCTATATTTTGTGAATCCAGTTATAGTGGCGTTCACTATAGCTCTGCTTCACTGATAGCATGGGATTCCTGTGGTCACCATCATCATCAATGATATCACTTCTTGAGTGCTGCACTTCCTGCTACGCTCAGAAACATTTCAAAGGAAGAGACATCGGGAGTGCTTCTTGCGCATAGATTGGAATGTGCATAGAGCAACATCAGCGACCACCCGATAACCCAGAAATAGGACATTTTATCGCACTTTCCTTTCCAGTTGGCTGCTGAGACAAAGGACCCAGGTGACCCTGTTAAAAAGGTTGCCATGGTAGCATTATATTTCAACAAATTGTATTTGTTTGGGAATTTTAATTATTAATTTCTCAATTGGGATGGAGCAATGCTAAGATAATTTTTTCTGGATATTTTATACCTTATGCAACGATATGAATTTGTACCAGAATGTTGCGTCCTAATTTTTTTTAAATGGTGAGCAAGTTTGCCCCTTATCACTCCTTGTTCCAAAGTAGCTTCTCATTGCAAATAATGTGAATTGCCTCAATGATAACTGAAGTCAAGGCAACTCGCACACCCATATTCCCAAATATGGGACTCAAACCACCAAAAGGCAGTGCAGGCCAAGTTCCATTTCCTCATTAAAAGTCAACAACAACATCGACAACAAATTACATTTGTATAGGGCTTTTCATATCGGGAGGAAGTCCCAAATACTACAGATGTAGTTAACGTCAGGAATGTTTCAAAGCTCCTTTCGTTCCTCCTTCCCAACCCAGATCAACTCTGAATTTGTTTTTGAAATGTGGGAATTCATTGAATATTTCTTACACAGACTGGGGATCATTATTAGTAAAGTGCTCAGTTATTGTGTGTGAGCTACTGGTACCGATTGTAACAGTGGTCCAACAAACAGTTTTAGCATCAGTTGTCAAATGTTTTTATAGTATTTAGAAATGTAATCATGTGGACCACAACTGCAGAATCTAAATGATATATCAGGTGCAAGGACTACTATTATTATAATTCTAGTGTGAGGAGATTCTCCTCTCTGCACACCCTCCATTCAGGGTGAGCAGACACTATTACCTGTTGTTGGTTGGCACAATGCCTGTATCAATGAGGCGAGGCACAGGGCCAAGATTCTTCCTTTGTGATATTAATTCTGCCTTTCCAGCCATGCTAAACCACATTCCCATATATCAGCAAACAGGTTGAATGCTGCTGGTCATTTGAACACACAGCCATAAAGGAAGATGTCCTCAATCACACTATCACTTAGTCCACTTAGCATTGTGTAACAGTACATGCTTATAAGTGACAGTAAACCATAAACACTGATTTCATTTTTACATTATCTTTGATGTGGGAATTCATTTAATATTTCTTACTGAGGTTGGGGGGATCATTATTAGTAAAGTGCTCAGTCGCTATTTGTGTGCTACTGGTGTAGAATTCCTCTTAATGGATTTAGCCCCTGTCACAGGAAGAACATTTCCTTTATCGAACCGCATTTCTTTCTTTCCCTTCCAGTTTTCTCCCTCGCTCTCTTGAAGCGAGGGAGAAAACTGGAAGCGTTTTCTATCTTTTCTTACCCTATAGTTCTGGCCAGCCTGCCAGTCCCTTGCCTAAGCGATCAACAAAAACTTGCATGTATATAGCGCACTTCACTTAAGATAACGTCACAAAGACTGTGTGAGATGCCAAGTAGGGGGGTTGGGGGAAGGGGACAGGTGATCATCCTTGTGATT